GCAACTCAATGGGAAAGGAAAGGATTCTGGTTTCAACCGTTGCGTATATTAGCTGCGACATATGAATCAAGATGCTATGACCGAAAACATTTGATTTGACAGATGACCGTTGATATATGATTGGCTGAATTTAGGTGTTCAGGCTGACGAAGAACTAACTGGCCTGCAGAAGATAATGATAAAAAGCAGAGATTTTAAGACAGGATTTTTTTTAGAAATAGAAATTTTCTAAGTTTTGGGACAATATGGTCTGATAAAGAGTACATTTATAAACATTTATTTATTTTATATACATTCATTTATATACAAGCCAGAATGATTTGACATTTAAATATGATTTCCCTACGCTTGTGCATGTTATTGCATTTGTTTTTGTTTTTTCGTGCAATTTATATTTTAATGCAGGTCCAGCAGGTTCTGCAGCAGCTTCTTCCCCACCGCCATCAGACCGCTGAATTGTCTGGAAAACTCTAAATCACGTCACAGACTCTGCATCACACTGATAACACCAAACCAAAATACTGCATATTTACACCATACTGTATATATTTAATGCTCTGAACTTCCATATCAATGTGTAATTTTGCACCATGTTTTTTTCTCCCAACACTGTTTACATTTGATCACTGCTGCACTTTAAGAAATGGAAATCTTACTGTTTGGAAAACTGTACAAACGAAATTGTACTAAAAGTGGTCTTAGTCTAAGTGAGTCTTTTTCACTGAAACCTGCATTACTGCCTCTGAAGGGAGAAGGTAATATTCCTGCTGTAAGGATCCCTCAGTTTCAAGCCTATTTTTCATCATCTGTTGAAGTTTTACACAGAAACACATCAGTTCTCCCTTTCAGTTTGCTGTTTGATGTTCCAAACCTCCTGGTTAAATTTTGCTTTTAGTTATTTTTCCTTTGGGGAGTAAAATGTCCACAGTGTTCATTACTCCTCATGTCAGACCATCTGAAATAAAACTTAAGAAATCTTTTTTTTATTCTTACTTCTTGTAAATCACTTCTATTGTTTATTGTGAGGACTCCACTAAGTGCCATCATATAGTCTCATTGATACGCAGAACTTTGACTTCAATGACTGTTTCAATATCTAGAATCTCTTTTCTTTTTTATGGTTATTGCTGTAAGGTTGAGCATTTACCAGGTTAAGTGCGTCATGGCTCATTTTGACCAGGAAGCCCTGCAAAACTCCAGAGTAGGTGTGCAGGATCTCCAGAGGGAAGCCTCCTCTGGCTGCTCTGGCTCGCAGCCTCCTGATGGTCCTCTGGACCTGAGACTCGTGCGTCCCTCGGTGCAGGACGACCACATACTGACCGGGGATCCGCCAAGCCGCCTGCAGGGCAGCGGAGGAAACATACAGCAGATGGTCAACAGCTGACCTGCTTCTCAGGATGCAAATAGAAATGATAACTGGAAGATGTTAACATGCATCTGCTGTTTTTAACCATCAGATGTGCCTGACCTCTGCGTCATAGGGGGAGTTTAAAGCCCTGCAGTTTTGAGCGCTCCTTACCTTGTTGCACTTGAGGAACTGTGCGCTTGGCGCGTCTCCAGCCTCAGCCTGCAGTCCGTCATCGAGGATCATCTCCAGGATCATGTCGTCTTCCTCCGTGTGATCCTGCGCGCATACGACCAAAGATGCGCACAAGCACAGCGCACAGCCGATCCATCCAGAAATGGGACACATTTTACGCATCTGGGATTTTTTTTTTTTTAACTCCGGATAAATATTAAAATAAAGAACTAATGAGAGTTTTTCATCCAGGCTGACTTCTACTGATGTTTGGGGGTTTTTGTGTCTCCAGCTGCTGCGCGTCCCGCGTGCCACAGCCTGAATCAGCCTCCAACCATCTGCTCTGATTTACAAGGAGCAGAAAAAATCCAAGAATTGATTGTTATTATTTAAGGCGGGGACTGGTGACGTTTCCGCGGCTCACGCCACCGCTTTAGTGTCGAATGATTGTCTCCGTTAAAGCAGCTCTTTCTGTGGAGGAGTCATGTTTCACGCTCTGCTGGATGATTGCCTGTCAATCAGAGGAAAACTTCCCTCAGGGAACCTCTGATGCTGCTGCTGCTGATCAACTCACAGCAGAACTTTGGACATTTTATCATATTACAGCTTTTAAGAGTAGAATTCTGTAATTTTTTTTAGATGTTTAGAGCTTGTAGCTGTTCTTAGTGTGGAACAGGTGGTAAACTTTCCTCTGATGAGTTTGTGATAAATAAACACAAACCTTCATATGTGAAGTGAAAGAGAAACGAAATGTTGGTTTCATTTTTTTCCTCAAAAAACAATCTTAGAATTATATTGTGCAAATGTTTGTAGCCCCTCCTTTACTCTTATAACCCTAAATACAAGTTAGTGCAACATTAGTGAACAACTGGCAGTGTAAACTAATCAGTCTACCCTTTATGGAAGAAGGAAGTTTGAAATATATGATTTAACCCTTTAATCAGATGAGACTAAAATGCAGGAGCGGATTTAGGAAATGTGGGGTCCTAGGCAAAGACAGGCAGGGGGCCCTCTGAACTGAGAACACATAGAACAGCCCCATTCTCCAGATGTAGAAATGTTAATAGAATAGACATCCATTATCTGTTCTAGGTTGTGTCCCTCTCTTCTTGTCCC